TTTTAATGTAAAGAAGAACAATGGTTATATAATTTAATAATAAAAGACTAAGCCAGGGATTGACCCTTTAGCACCCAGGAGTCTAATTAATATTATAAAGATTTATAAATTATAAATTTCTTCTTGCTTTAATTATCGGTTAAATTTAAATCGGAACCATTGTTTATCCTTTTCTTATAATATTAATTACTTGTTTTACATAAATGGTTTTGACCAATGAAAATATATAAGTTCATCCGACATATCATGCATTTAATCGTCATCATAATCCATTTGCATATTTCACATGCTCATTACATATTAGATATCGGCAACTTATTACCGTATTTCCGAGAATGGCTTATTAGTTATTCCGTAAGAATTATTTATTCATGATTATGAAAGATTAATCAAAAAAAAGCTTATATTTTATGTAATCATAAATAATTTCATGTCGCACAAATTGTTTACTGCATCGGCATAACGTGAATTAATTTTAGGGGTAAATCTATGTTGATTAAATACTATTCGTTACCTTTTTGTAGGACATTCATAATCTGGTTAGGCCAGGGTAATTTATTTATTTAAGAAATCTAGGATATGAACTTTTCAATATGTTCGGTTAAAAGTAGTGGCGAATTAACTTTAATCGAATTTTTTTTCAAGACGTCCAATAACCACTCACCATTAACAAAGTTTTTTTATTGGAAACGGAGAAATTTTTTATCTTTACCGTGTGGTAAAAAAAATTAATATAAATATATCATTTGACTCGTTATATCGGAAAAAAAAAAGATAAAAAAAAAATATTTTTTTTATTAAAAAATCAAATTATTATCAAATATGATTTCAAAATTATTCGAAAATTTCGATTACTTTTCTTTGATAGGGATCACAATAATATTTTATGTAACGTATTATTATTATAAATATTTTAATCGTATAAATCCTTTACCTGGACCATTCCCAATCCCATACTTTGGAAATTTACATCAATTATTTATTTTGCATGGTGGAAATTTCAAAAATTTTTTCAATTCTAATCATAAAAAATATGGTGACTTATTTGAGATATATCTTGATAAACGAATTATAATTTTAAATAGAACAGAACATATTGAAAAACTTTTATCAGCCTCAACAAAAAATCCATATATTATGAAATTGTCTGAAGATGACAGTAAAGGATATCATGAATTAGGAATTATGGGAAAAGGATTAGTATTAAATCAAGAATTTAAATCATGGAGATATAATCGTCATTTTTTTACACAAGCAATTTTATCACCAAAATTTGTTCATGAAACTACTTATTGGACAAGTAAACTTTTTGAAGAATTGGAAAGTTATTGGGATAAATTATATCTTAGAGGAGATAATAAAAAAGTATTAGATTTCTCTTTATGGTCTAATCAATTTACAAATGATATGATTATTACTTTATTAACTGGTGAAAGATCTTATACAATGGCAGGTTATTTTAATGAACTTAGTGATAGTGAAAAAGCTGAACGTCCATCTGCATTAATTGATGAAACTGTAAAATTTGTTCATGCAATTCGTAAACATATTTTGGGTTTTTTATTATTTCAAATAATATCTCCTTTTTTACGACATTACTTTCCATATTTTAAGAATAAATCAGATGATATGAAAGAAAATATGAAATATTTGAATCGAAGATTTGATTCAATTATTAAGAAACGTAGACAAGAAATTGAAAATACTCCTTTAGATAAACCTTTGTCAAATGATATGTTGACATCAGTAATTATTGCGAATACACCTCGTGATGTTAATTATGATAAAAATATTAATGATAAAGCTATGAGACCTATGACTGATATTGAAGTTCGTGGTATTATATTTGATGGAATTATTGCTGGTACTGATACAGTGAGTAAAATTCTTTTATAATCATATTATAAATTTGGTTATTATTTTTTTTTAACGTTTTATTTTTATTTTCATTAGACTGCGAATACAATTTCATACATTATCTATTATCTTGCACATAATCCAGATGTTAAAAAGAAACTGTTGGATGAAATCGATAGAACCTTTCAGGATGATAAAATACGTCCAATTACTGAAAGTGATTTACATAATTTAAAATATTGTGAAGCTATTGTAAAAGAAGTATCTCGCATCTTCTCTGTTGTAAATTCGTTTACAAGATGTCTTGAAAGACCTGAAGAAATAGCAGGTTATCAATGGCCAGCTAATACACATATTCGAATTAATATTGATGCCATTCATCATAATAGTGAATATTGGGTAGAACCAGAAAAATTTAATCCTGATAGATGGTTGAATGAAGATTTTGAACCAAAGAAAAATTCATTTATTACATTTGGTGGAGGATTGAGAGTCTGCCCAGGAAGAAAGTTGGCAATTACTGAATTAGTTTGTTTAACGACTTTATTATATAGGAAGTATGAAATTGATTTGGTAAATAAGGAAGCTTCTTTAAGAACCGTATCCTCTGTTATAACAGCTTGCACTGAATTATTAGTAGAAATTAGACCAAGAAATTAATATAGTAATTTCGCTTTTATATAATTTTTTGTTATATATATTTTTTCACACACATATAGATATGATATTTTTTTGATTTTTGATTTCTCTAACGGGAAAGATGACGTTTAATAAAAATCACGTTAAAAACTAAAATGTATATTCCCTCGTGTAAGGACTGTTTTGCGTTTGTAATCTGCTAATATGTTGCAACCTCTTAATTATGTGTTTTTAATTAACTTTGTATAGTATAAATAAGGTTGAAAGTTAATTCTTTGTTAAAATTTGATTGCTGATTCGTCTGACACTATGCAAATTCTGACAAAGTTTTCAGAATATTTATTCAAGATAATTAAACAAAAATGATTATCAGTTACTTGAAACAACTAAACAGAATTTATCATACAACACTATTAATCAACAAATCTAGAATTTTTTGTAATTATTTGTAATCATCCGGACCCATATCTTCTGCCGTCATTACATGGCGAGCTAATTCCACATCAGATCCAATAGAGACCTGGGGCGAAAATTATTAGTATAGACCATCGGATATTTTTTTTTTTTGCTATTAACGAATGAAAGTTTAATTGTCTTACTAATTATACAAGCATTCCCATCCTCTCAGGATAATTTGTTCGGTCGCAACAGATCACATTACCAAAACTATTTAGGGTACACTGTTAGAATACTTCTGAGCATTTTATTCGAAGCCATTTTGATATCTTGACTGTGTAGAAATTCTTATTTTCATTCCAATTCCATTTGATTCAGGGACTTGTACTTTTTCTACTTTATTTTTGACATGATAATCAAATCATTCAACTTCCAATTCCTCTGAACATTGATTTTGTACCTGCACACTTTATATTATTCTTTGAATCTTCTTCTCTATCATTTATCCAATTGGAAACATCATATTTAAATAAATGTTATTGTCGTTGTTTATCAAAGAATACATATTTTCTTGATTTTAATGTAGATTTATGGATTTGTTTAAAAGTGTGTTCTCACTTTCCATCAATAAATAACCTTACTTTAAGTATTATTGTACAAGATTATGAAAATAATTAGATGAAGTTCTTAATCGGCGCGTGATATATTTTATCGTTATACCAAAAGTTCTTTCATCAGGTTTTTTATATTTATGTAGTAATATTTTTATGAGTAAAAAATAAATTTTCAGTGTTAAAAATTAAATATCGGAATGAATTTGAAAAGTTTAGATGTATATATAAAATAAATTCTTATTATAACTGAATATGATATAATATGATATTGTTGCTTCATTAAAAGAAAAATCTAAGTACAATGCGCGTTAATATTTACCATCTGAATACAACCATGACGGATGACGCATGATTAAATTTTTACAAACGTTCTATCAATGAAAGAATCAAAGTTATCATCCGTCAAGTCTCAAAATTCGATAAATATTTATTTTTTGTCAATTGTCAGACGTAAAAGAAAGAACCATGATATTTATAAAAAGTAGAACATTTTAATCAGATTCTGGTTGATCTCATACCATCATCACGTCAACAAATAATAGCAGAATTTACATAAAGATTGAATTGTATTTAACGATGTAAAGTCAAAATTTATAATTAATTGATTTTTGTATTATTGTACAATTTATGTTCTATTGTTCATTTATAAATTGACCCAACAGCTAAGAGACGTCCATATTCCTGTATCACAATAAATAAACACAACTTTGTAATCGTGCAAAACAGCAATACTTCAATTAGATGAATTTATTTTAACTATTAATAAGCATTTTGGAATTTTAAATCTATTCCTATTTTCTACCGAACGTATATCAAGATATCCCTTATGGTTATATTAAATAGTTTATCGTAAGTATAATAAATTCTAAAGTCAAAATCAGTATTGGCAGTAAAATATGAAGTAAATTAAAATAAGTAAATTAAATAATTATGAGTGTACTTTCATAATTAATATCCGTATTTGATTCAATTTATTATGAAATAAAAAATAGCTTTAAAAAAGGCATTAAACGTAAATATCAATATCAGATATAAAATCACGAAATCGAAATTATTATTTTCAATTGAGAGAACCTCATGAGCGAAATGTTCTCGATCTGTCATTTGTTTTATATAAGCGTTAGTATTATTGAGATGAAGATATAATAAAGTAGATAAATAAGAATAAATGACGGCAAAGATCAAAGTTTGTTAGCTATAATTTATCAGATATCACCATCTGACGGCGGATAGTTTTTCAATAATATACCCGTTGAATAACTTTATTATATAATTATTTAGATTAAAGACTAACTTACCATCAGGAATTTCCAATTCATCCTGTTCTTTTAAATGAAGATTTATATTTCATCATTATCTAGTGAAAATAAATAATTAAAATAGCATAAAAATTATGTAAAATTTTTACCTACCATAGATATTTAATACTTTGTCTTTTATTTATTGTTGAATTATTTCTTTTTTTCATTTTCTAAATTTAAATAAGAATCGCAATGGAAAACATGGGAATTATGGATTGCATGGTGAATGATATAGAAGTAGAACTGAATATTTGTCTTGCCTGTATTTATTTTTTTTTATCGCTTGCATATATTAATAAAGTACCGTGAAGAATCTTCACGCTTATAACCTGATATGTAAAAAGTAATGAATGACCACGAGTCACGATCTCAAAGTTTAGCTTTTTATATATGTATTGTAAAGTCGTGTAACTTATTAATTGATGACATAATGAAGTTTTTTAAGTGTTTCGTCACAAAAAATTTCCTGATGGAGTCTGATCAATTTGTGCGACAATCGGTTTCATATATATCTCTCTCCTAATTCCCAAATTCCCATTATGTAAGAAACTCTCAAACTTGTACTATTATAACTATCCAAATCTATAAAGCAATCATGTCGGAAACCGCTTCTACTTCTAAAGTAAACGACATATATCAAGAAATTTATAGGCTTGGATTGACTGATGATGAAAAAACCACTTTATACGCATTCTTCACTAATAATCCTGATAAGAAAAGCGAGGCAGAAAAAGCTTTTACTTACTTTCAGGATGAAGTGAAAGTTGACATATTGAGAAATTTATTACCTCCTAGTATGTTCTTTCATTCTCATCCAGACCGTGTCATATTCGTCAATAATACCGAATACTTACATAATCTTATACTTTCTTTCCTGCTTCTTATCGTCAAACCCGACAAAAAACCACATTCACGTTGTCATAGCGCAACCCGCTGCTGGTAAGTGGATCGTTTATTCAACGCGAGTGAACGTGTCTTGGCTTGATCTTCCACAATAATTCGAATTCACAAATCTATACTGATTTCATTTCATTTATTATGCTCTTTCGTCCTATTAAACAGCTGGTATCCCAGGAATCAAGTTTCAAGGTAATTAATTGTTGTGGTCCATACACGAGTCTTATTATGAAATGTTGGAATACTCTTTACTCACATTCTATCTAGCTGCAAAAATAGACAAGGCAATATGGGTCCATTATAATGAGAAACGTGTCTTTTTCTCGAGAGCTAATCTAGAAGAAAATGAAATATTTGACGTAATTGGTTTGAAAAATTTGATCAAAGCTCGGTTTCGTATATCGAAGGATGTCACTATTCGTAGTGAGAATGGCAACTTAGATGACAGTGAACTTGTCACTGGATTCTATAATACTCAATATAATGCATTAGAGGTTATTGTCGAAGGAAATGGTATGCATAAAATAGTTGTTTTAAAATTTTATTCCTCAAATATTGATTTCTAAAATTTTCTCACTTATCTACTTAGATGATGAAGGCTCTACAGAAGGAAAAAAAAGTAAGAATATATAATAGAAATCTTTTTGATGTATTATTAAACAACTGTTTATCTTATAATTTTTTGCAGGTGTGAGAGATATTAAATTAGTTCAAGTTGAAAAAGCATTTCAAATCGAATACCAAGGAACAACTCTGGACATATTCCATTCACGGTTGTTACAATTTCATGATGAATGGCTCGAACAGATAAATCCGTACGCCCCTTATTTGGCAATCATCCAATGCTCCGGTTCCGGTAAATCACGGCTCGTGGGGGAACTGAGAACCAAGAAGATCTTCATCCTGTATATTTGTAAACGTAATGAGACTAGTACCGGATACCCTGCCTCAACACCTTGCGTTCAACAAATTTTTGAAGCAATTCGTGGTAATAAATTTGGTACTCTTTTATCTCTAGCAATCAAACAAATTAAGGCCAGAAATTGGGACGAGGAAGAGTTTTGGAGTATTCAAACAGAGGTTGAACATAAAAATGAATGTAGAGATTTTTGGAATAGTATCTTTGAATTGTTAGGGCAGCAAGTTGAGCCTTCGTCAGATTGCAGTAATAAAAATTTTGTAACACACTTATTTCCTGGTAGAAGAATCTCTGTAGTTTGTTGCATTGATGAAGCACACGAGTTGCTTGCAGAACGTATTGATAATGAAACCCATTTTGTTCAATGGAGGCGACAAATTCGGAAAATATCGTGGTGTAGATTCTTTAATATTCTCCTCAGCACAAACGGGAAGATTGGTAATTTTCTCCCTCCAACAGCAAAAAACACTATATCTGCCAGATCGCATAATTTCGAAGTATTTCCCGCATATTTGGATGTTAATACCATGGATGCATTGGTACCACTTGCTGGAAATGCTAATAAGAATTATAATCCCGATAGAACTGCATATCTAGGAATTCCCCTTTGGGGTTCTCTTGCTCAAGCGGGTGTTAGTCTTACAGACCTTATTCATCTTGCTTCACAAAAGATCCGCAATTTTAGCAAAAACAAGAGAGATTATCTTGCCAACACTGCATGTACAGCCTGCACCCTAGCTCTTGAAGTTTCCCCTCGAATTGCAGAAGTAGATAGCCTGATAGCATCTCATATGGCAACTGCTATAGGAGTTTCACTTGATCGCACAAGTATCCTTTGCACATATCCCTCTGATCCCATTCTTGCATCGGGAGCACTGAAAGGAATTATTAAGGTTGGTTGGGATAACAGCTTGGACACACTGTTGGAACTGTTTAGTCGTGGGGTAGTAGAAGTGGGAGAAAGAGGAGAACTTGTCAATCGCATCTTGTTTTTGAAAGCATATGTTGATGCTGTAAATAAACATTTTTCTGGAAAAGAATCGCGTACATATTTGGATAAGGTTCCTTTGGAATTATTTTTAGATTCTTTGTTATGTAATGAAATAAAGGGTCTTGCACAGTTTCTTCAAGATATGCAAATAAGGGACGCAGAAATCGGCTTTAACCATTGGACATCTTTGTTAGCTACCAATAAAGATTATGTGAAATCGGGGGGGAATAAGTTCCTATCAGAGAAACTTGTCGTGGAAGCCTACCACCGCCAATCTGCACTTAAGATGCCATTGGGATTTAAAGATATTGATCATATAATTCCTTTCAAACACTCCACTGGTTATGGTATCATTTCAATTCAAAATAAGAATATGAAAAAAACTACCTTTAATAATACTACAGATATTACTTCTTTGGCAGATCCGCAAACTGCTTTTGGTAAGAAAATCACGGGCGGTTATAAGGTTATAGGTATATATATTGATCTTGGTTTAGATGATGTATCTGCGGAAATAAAGAGTAAAGATATTGTGGAATTACGAAGTAATATTAATAATCAACAAAAAGGTAAAAAGCATATTATCTATATTCAAGGCGTCGGGTCTTTCAAATGTTGTAATGATGAAATTGGTGAAAGACTATCTAAAATACTTTTTACTCGTCCTTGGCCACTTCACACTCAATGGAGTATGTTTGACGAAGATACAGATTTAGAAAGGGAGGATGTGATCAAGTCATTTTTACCTCTTGTCTTTGAACAGAAGGAGTCTTTTGTTAACAAATGGCAATTAATGTGATATGAAATCTATTCTAGTAATTATTGACAAATGTAATATTAATACTTAAACAGCTGTAAGGCTTAATAAAGTCGTATAATAAAGAATTAGTTTGTTCGCCTAATTGTGCTTATATTTTTTTTACGTTTTTTACATTTTCCAATGCAAAGCCTAGTATTTACAATATGATTATATATTTTTTATTTTTGATATACAGTACAAATTGCATACCAGTAACACCACATCATATGCGTATTTTAAAAAATCTAAATTATTTGGGGAATGTATAAGCTAATCATCAAGATTTGAAAGGGAATGGAGAAATGCAGTACGTAGTAATTGCTAATTGAAGATCCATCCAGTGATCGCTAGTTCCTGCGGAAATTCAAAGCACTATGATATTAACAGTTTTTTTTCGTTTATAGCTTCCCAAAGACCAGGTATTACAGGATGTCTCTATCCAGCATTCGAAACCTCGCTTACAGCATCCTAAAGAAACTATATCATGAAATTTTTAGTTAGATCGGTCCACGTAATTACATATGGATTAGTTCAGGAATATGTGGAATTCCATGTACGACTCCTACGTGGATCTACGTAGAATTTTGTGGATCTACATTAGTGCTCTACATGAGTCGAACAAGCTCATAAGCTTTTCAAGCCGAGCCAAGCCAAGCCATGATTAAATTGGCTTGGTGGCTCACGAGCCGGCTTGGAAGAGCTCGAGCCAGTTATTAGACTCGGCTCAAAAAGCTCGAGCCTGTAACGGACTTAGTTAATGTAAAAATGTTGCGCAAACGTTATTTTTACATTAATTTAATTAAAAATAACGTTTCGCAACGTTATTTTTAATAATTTGAAGTAAAAACGTTGCAAAAACGTTGACACCATATACAGATCACGCTATATAGTTAATGATATCAGGTGATCTTCATTTTAATAGTGATATTCCTTGTGATTGGTTGTTCTGCTAATTGTGCTATCCTGGAAAGGAAGGAAAATTTTACTAATTTGGTTAGCTCTTATGCGCTAAGTATAGGGTACGTTTTTTATATTATTGATATTGATATTGATATTG